CGTGATTAAAAAAAAACTTTTTTGAATTTTAAACATATTCTGAAAAGCTTATTCATAATCTGAAATACTATAAGAGATACATGTACATGTCCACTACCATATTTTTATCTATGCCTAAAAATTCCAAGTACGGATAGAATGATGGGTGCGTAAACAAGGAGAATTAAAACTCTACTTAGACATATAGGGCATGGTATTTGATAATCAGTATCTCTAAAATAATGAAAGAAACCTGATAATATATATAACTACTTTAAAATATTTGGGAAATACTAAATTAGTGAACAACAAAATATGAAAAAAAAAATTGACAGTTTTTTTCCTCTCAAAGTTCTTCCCCTTAAAGCCAACACGAATTTCTTTTTTTTTTTAGAATGAGCACAGGTTTGCTACATCACGAGCTAAAATTGTATTATACAGTATAATAAAAGACGCAATCAATAATGTCAAAGTACAATTTTAATGCACAAGTGTAAGATATTTGTAATATTCTTTTACTGAATAAGAAGACACATGAAAAAATCCCTATGAAAAGAAGTTTCGATCTAGGTTTTGCTATGCTTTTATTCAACATTTAGTTAAATATATTAACAACATATATTTTCATTCCTACAATGACCCGATATATCACTTTGAACACAAAGGAAAAGTACTAGAGAGTCTGGCACATTTTTCTTTTCATATTTGAATATTTTTCTTAGAAAAAGAAGTTAATGGTAATCTTACGACATTTTTTTTTATAATAAACTTAATGACTTCATCTTTTCTTTAGTAAACATCCCTTATTTACTGAATGTGTAACTTACAAAGAGGGCTTAATAATAACATGTTTAATAACAAAGAACATTTTATCAAATCCTCTTTTAAATTCAAAATTTAATACTTTTCAACCTTTAATTTAAAAATCGAATTTATTACATATGAATTTGTAAAACTGACGTAGGAGGTCCATATACATACGTTTTCCTATGATGTTTATGATCAATTTGATACATGTACAAATATTTCATGTAAATTGTGCAATAACTTTGTGGCTTCTTTGCTACCAAGGTAACGAGAAACCAGCTGTGTACATTTAGAGACAAATACTTACGCGCGGGAAATGCCGTTTTAATTTTATAACAGCATCTACTTTAGATTTACACTTGTATGTTTATATAGATAACTTGAATATTGTTTGCCAAAGTAATTGTGGACATTTTAAAAAAAATGAAACAGCAATGCAGTAGTCTATTCATATTTTAGAATATGATTAGTGTTATTCTGTTACATGTAATGTGCAATAGGGTTTCAGAACGTTTATTTACACCCTTGGTTCCGATTCTGAGTCAAATAGAAACAATTTTCAACAAAAACAAGGTCCCTTTAGTCCTCTTTTATTTTAAATGGAAGCCTATTTATCGTCTGTAAAATATGATGAAAGTTTCGTAAATTTTACTTTTACCATGTCAGGCGATTAGGGCTTGAAAAACAACGTATTCTTATATTAACAGGTTACATTGTATCTGATTTGAACGATATTTTAAGCAGTAGCCAATTAATCTTTTTGAAACACGACTGTTGATGCTCAGAAGACTTGCAAAATGGTTTGGAATTCTTATTTTCACCTTGGAGACTAATTTGAATCAAAGACGGACGATTTTCTACGAAAAATGTGGTTCCAAGCTTCTCTTACATTTTTTTTTTTTTGCTTCCCCCTTTTTTTAAATACCAGGTTACTAGTATCTTTTGGAATACAATTGGCTATTTTAGCACAGATGACACATACAAAAAAAAAGATGTATGGATTAAGAAAAAAAATATGAAAATCTTCCTCTAGGTGTAATGTAAAAAAATGAAGATAACGAACAGTGATTGATTAAAAAAATCTATAAACAATACAAATATGTAAAGAGGGCATAGAACACGTATCCTTGGAAATTCCAGAGGTGGGATCAGGTGCTTAGATGTATGCATCCCCTGCTGACCGGTCACACCCGCCGTGAGCCCTATGTATTGATTAGGTAAACGGAACTTTCCGTTGTCAAATTCAGTATAAAATCAAAGATCCAATCATAGGTTATATTTGCTAACATAGTAATAACAACGACAATAGAATTTACGAAATACCGACCTTAAATGAGGTTGTTGCCCTGTAACATTAACTTATGAGTAAGTAGCATGTCCCTCTTTAAATATTGATCGTACTTAGAGCAAGCTCTTGAGTAGGGAATAAGTTGGGAGACATAAACACCATAAGCTGGTGATAGAGGACTATTACTACATAAATCAGGAAAGTTGACGATGGAAAAGCTTAAGTCATCTTGTTTGTCAAACAATTTATTTGAAAGTTGGCCTTTATTGTCTATAGTCAGTGAAACATCAATATGAGCAGATGTGGAAGACTCTGTGGTGTCTTTTATTTCAAGTTCACTTGGATATATCAAGTCGACATATATGAATGAAAATAACTATATTGTTAATTGATAAAACATCGTCAGTATATCTGAATGTTGAAAAAAAGGTCACAGGCCACAACAAGTGTTTTCCTCCTCTCACGTAGAAGTATTTGAATAAATTATGCTAATAGAGGAGCACAATTAGTGCCCATCAGGCCTCAAGACCATCTATTGAGAACAGATTTAAGTAAAAAGTTCGATTTTGAATATCTTGAGTTTCACTTTACATATGGGCTAAAAAATATACAGATTTCAATAATATTAAAATTCAAACAAATGACAAAAATTTTGTTTTATTATCAAAATTATTTCAAAAGTGATATTGATTTGATATTTTGACTAAAGTCTGTTTTCAGTTCAGGCTCTTGGGGCCAGAACTCCAAAAGTTTGTTGAAAAACATCTCTGCGAAGACAACATAAATTGTGTCATTAAGGAACCCCAGCTTCCTTTAAATATCAACTTAGAGTACTTCTGAGTACAATCAAAGCGGTTTTAACAACGTAACCGAGTTCGAGTTCCGTTTTTATAGACGAAGCAGTTGGCTATGATACCAAAAAGATTTTCGTTTACCTTAAGGAATAATTGTATAAAGTGTAAAAAAAAAAAAAAAGTCGTTCGGTTTGATGTTATAGTCTAAATCTGGTGTTATTTCCATTCATATGTCGACACATATATCCCAGTGGGATTGAAATTAAAGAAAATACAGAGTCTGACATTTTCTTTTTTCATATTTGGATATTTTACAGGAAAAAGACGTTAATGGTATTCTAACATCAAAGCTTTATGATAAACGTAATGACTTCAACTTCTAAATCGTCAATTTCCTTTACCTATGCAGCAATGTACATGTACCATTATCACCTGCATACGTGGTTTTTAACTCTCAGTTGATTCGACACGCAAGAGCATGTGTGACGGTACATATTGTCGTTTTGTACATATTGTTGTCGGCGACAGTACCTACCTTCACTGCATATATTGTCGTCCATCGGTACATATTGTCGCCGGCGACAATATGTACCGAGACGAGCCTTATTTTCCTCCTGCATAATGGACGACAAAATGTACAGTCAAACACCAGCACATATTGTCGTCGGCGACAATATATACAGTCAAGGTCGGCATATATTGTCGTCGATATATTGGTTCGACGAATATTTAATTGAGAAAGGAAAGAGAGATTGACAAACACACACACACGCACGGAGGGAGACAGACAGCATTACCTGCAATGCTGTAGGGGGAACGCTTTTGGGTCAGAAAATTGTGTCCAGGATTGATGTAAATCAGCATTATATGTCAAGATACCATAATTTTTGAGATATCTGATAAATCAACCCATTCTTTTTTCTTGTAATATACTAGTATACTTTGAGATTGAATACATATATTTTTTTGCTTAACTTGTTTATAATCTTAATGTAGTCCACAAGTAAAATTTCATAATTAAATAATTTACTTAACAAAAACAGTAAAACATCTTTACATACAAATGACTTTTAAATTTTTTGAACCGCCCGCACCCCCCCCCCCTTTCCGTTCTGAAAGTTCTTGATCCACCAATGAGTACAGCAGTAGGCCCGTGGTTAGTGATGTTTATATGGAAAAATTCTCAGGTAGCGCTGTTTCAAGTACAAGAAAGTTGAGGGAGAGTCACTGCGGTTATTCGAGACGCCTTCTATGATACAAGTATTTTTTCACAACTTCTGCTGAGTATCTGCTCACCCAGTACCAGTATGAATGTTGTCACTATTCACATTTTAAGGAATTTATAAGGATAAGGATTATAAGGTTTATAAGGATAAGGCTATATAAGGTTTATAAGGATAAGGATATATAAGGTTTATAAGGATAAGGATTATAAAGTTTATAAGGATTAATGTTATATACGATTAAATAAAGTATATATTGTATAATGTAGGTCGTGGCCACAAACGCCAACTCAAAAATAAATAATTATAAGAAGTTATGCTTGTCTTCATCGTCTTTAATAATTATATGGATCATTGCTTTGCATTGTCATGCATCATGTTCTGATGGACGACAATATGCACAGTGAGGGTAGGTACACATTGTCGCCGGCGACAAAATGAACAGGACGACAAAATGTACCGTCACATCACGCTGCATGAAATAACATAATCGACACGTCAGTGTGATTCACATACCAATCACATTCACAAAACTACCAAAAACAACAAAAATCTGTCACCAACAAAATCTGTGGGGCGACAATATGTACAGTGAGGGTGAGGCACATAATGTCGCCAGCGACAAAATGTACATGTGTTACTTATCAGCCGGCGACAATATGTACTGATGGACGACAATATGTGCAGTGATGGTATAAACATGTTGTCGCCGACGACAATATGAACCGTCACAGCATGCTCTACATACGAACAATTTCTAAAACAATCAAATACAACTGCAATCAAATACAAAACTGCCTATCAGAGAACCTCTAATAGTAAATAGATTAATTGACTTTTTGCCTTTTTTTAAAATAGTTATTAAAATGCAAAGCGAAAACTTTCACCCTTTATGGATAAGAACTCAACTTATAGATTTGTCAACCTTTATTTATCAGGTATTCAAGAAAGAAGTAAACATAAGCACATTTCAAAAGATCCAAAAGTAGCAGTTCTCGGAAGAAGGTGACGCTCGTAAGTAAATTACATATTTTCTATAAAAGTGGTTGTCACAAACAAGATGAAATAGAAAATAAGCATGAACATTGACTAAATAAAAAAGAAATAACGTTTAAATTCGATGTACTATCCATATTCACTGTCTACCAAAGTTTTCTTATCATATTTTAGTCCTAAGTTTGTTTTTATCCAAAATTAACTTTCTCATCACTGTAAAAATCCAAAATCATTTCCACTTTTTTGTAGATGGGTATTATGGTTTTACATAAATAATTTACGTTAACATTTAGAGAGAGAGAGAGAGAGAGATTGATTATTATTGTTTAACGCCGAGTCGGCAATATTTCAGCCATATTTCGGCGATGAGAGAGAGAGAGAGAGAGAGAGAGAGAGAGAGAGAGAGAAGGGAAGATCAATGACCTTTAGATCAATTTTGTTATAGTCTTTATCGAGCATACCACGGTAAAATCCTTGTTATACGGAAAAAAATCGACATACGTATGTTTTAATTACACGGGAGAAGCTTTCTCAATTTTGTGGTAAAACAAAATATATGCTTCACTGAGAAGAACCTCCTTTAGCTTCACTTGTCGAACATAACTGTCATCTCGACGTTCCCAATTCTCATCGTTCATCTTTTTGACGTAAGTGTAGTAATGGCCACCTGTTAATCCTCCACTATGGACTATCACGCCATACAATTTGTATTTCGAAAATTCTTCTTTGTTTATTTTCTGTAAATTTAAATTGCGTAACCATATTATTACACCTATATTTAAAAAAAACCCACTCAATTAAGACCAAAAAAATAACTTACACCAAGATGAATATTATTTGAAAGTCCTGCAAAAGTTTCCCAAAACTTCGGAGTTCTTTGTACCCTTTCGAAATAATCCATGTTCTGTAAAGCAGATTGAAATGTTCAGACATTATATTTATCATTTTTATAAATTTGAACGAACTTTAATTGTATATTTTTTGTGGATTGCAAAATAAAGTTTTCAATTTAATGAAAATATTTGAAACTGACTTTGCATTTATTGATGGACAACCACAGACATTCATTCATTATTCAATTTGTGTACGAAAATTTTTCAGTCAACAAAGTTTAACACGTTTCTTTCCCTTACACGTAAATTGTTACATATTTGTAGTTAAATATATATACAACCTCATATATCATTCCTAGCTGCAAAACTAAAACATCAGGATACTTCTTAATTTGTATTTCTTTTTGTACAGTGTGGTGTTCTATGTAAAAGAAAAAAATGAATATTAAAAAAATTAACTAAGATATTTGTGTTTATACGTGCATTATACATTTCATTATTTTTTTAATTGTTAGTTCATATAAGGTAATGAAAATTTATAATCTATACATACTACAGTGTGAACAAGGGAATACATCTTTAATTATTTCAGAATCAAAAAACTGGTACAAGCATTCTCCAATCTTTGGATTCTGCAGAAGAAAATATATGGTAAGCAAGAAGTTTTGTACAGTACACAAAAGTGTTTGAAACTGAAGATCAAGTAAAGAATTTAGTGTACTTACGTCAGTTTTCACGGTTGGTAACGGTAATGAAAAAAACGTGCTTTCTCCATGATGTTCTTTCTGTAGTTAAATAAATAACAACACGAATATACGAAAACAATCAAAGCAATATTGTCTTTCTTTCCTTCTGTTTTGGAATGAGTGGCAAGTGTTTTTGACGATACAAATCTTTATTTTTATCTCAAAATTTCCTCACAAAATGTGTGTTCAACAAGTGTAAGGTCATCTGATATAATTTCTTCTTCTAGATGACCTTGAGGAAATCCATGCTTAGTTTGAAGTCATTTTATGATATAATCTCTTACTTCGTATGGTATTAACAAGTTCAAGTTCATTACAAGAATCTGATTTATAAGAGCTTTTTAACGCAAAAAAACTATACAACCGATTTCTTTTAAGGGATTATTTAAAAAAATGGATATATGTTCCTTTGTATTTGGTTCTCTAGCTTGATCTTAAACTAATGCTTTGTAGCTATGCTTTATACGAATGACTGCTACCTATTTGTTCAAACAAATCAAATTAATGCCCTGTTCACACGGAGAGTTTAATTCGAATTAAACGTAAGTTACTGCGAATTAAATTTGATCCGCGTTCACACGGAGAATTTAATGCGAATTAGTTAAATTCGAATTAGTTTACTGCGCATTAAATTACTTCACATTAGCTGCGTGTTAACGCTAAGCGAAGCTAATTCGAATTAAATTTTGACGCATGCGTAAGGGCAGAACTTAGTCACAGACCACATGTCGATGGTCAAATATAGGTACTTGTGCTATTTCTGAATGGAAAACAAAGGAAAATTATGTTAATCACTAAAATGTGCACAGACACTATGACATTTTGTCAAATGTGTATCTCCTCTGACGTGATTTGTAAATGACGTCATAATAGCCTCACTGAACAGCCTTGTTGTAGAAGTAAAATTATTATTAGCATTAGTTTACTTTGCATTAGCTGTCGTGTGAACGCAATTTAATTCGCATCATTTTACTTCGCATTAATTTACTACGAATTAAACTCTCCGTTTGAACAGGGCATTAATTCATGACCGACAAGTGTGTCGGTATCCTATCAATGAGAGAATTGGGGTGTACATTTTAATTAAACAAGAGTCTCATGAAAAACTTCTTTCGCTATACCATCTCTCATATCTTTCCCATCGGTCTCATTTTTAGTATATTTGTTCTAGAGGTTAAGAATTTAAAGAATTTCTATCCTTTACAGAGGACATAGTCCTTCAGTTGAATAAGTTTCAATGAAGTTAACAAACAATAAGAATGACAGTGGATGGACGACAGACGAGCTTCGATAAGATAACCTCACCTGACAATGTGGTTTAGAATACCTAAAAGCAATTGTCAAACCTGGCTTTATACATGTAAAATAAATCTTTACATACCTTTTACTTCTTATTTGTCTCAAATATTTTTAAGTTGTTGTTATTAACAATATTAACTTATTCTTCCTTTGTGATGTCCTTCTTTTGTTTTTCGTTTGAAATGTAGAATTCTTTAATTTTACAAAACTAAAAATGCATTTCTAAAGATACTTTATGGTAAGTCAAATTAAGTTAAGTATTCTCCTTGGTTTTAGGGGACGACGATAAATCGAGAACTTTAAAAACAGTAAACTTTGATTAAAATTTTGGATTTATGTCTCTGATTTACATAACATATAAACATAGCTTTTGGGCATTTCGCGAATATGATGTCTGCACAATTTATCATTTCGTCACAGAAATACATATCATCAAGTGGCCGTACCATAATTATGCAGAAACTTCTTAATCCAGGGCAATTTGGCTTTATAATAATTTTTTGTATACATAAAAATTATTAGAGATTAAGTCAACAAGCAGATTATTGAAAGCAATTATTTAAGATATAACTCAGATATCGTTCTGATCATAAACTGAGATGAGTACATTGCGCATTTACATTGAAAATGTTATCTGGTTTTTTTATCTTTGTAAAAATCACCTGTTTCATTATTTGTCGTCCCCTTTGCATTTCACAAAAAATATCAATTAACACCATGTCTTTACGCGGCTAGGATAAGGCTGCCCGATAAATATCACAGTGTACCAGCCGTTGTTACATGTACTTCTCTGAACTACCAAGATATGACGTCATAATAAAACATGACGTCAAGTCACTGCAAACTTGAGCAGTCATGACGGAGAAAGTGTCATAACTTTCACATTCCCTCCCAAGGCGTGTAGATTTTATTTCGACGTTGATGTTTAAATCAGGTGTCTGAATTGTTGGTTAAAGTTTCTTTGTGCTGTTATGATGGTGATTATTCGCAGTACAATATCGTTATTCCTTTCTCTTTCTGATAATGTACGTATTCCAACAATAACAAAAAATGAATATGAATCATTCCCCCTTACACTCCGTAGACAGTTAGAATTTTAAAATCATGCATATATTAGACTGGCACAAGTGATTAATAAAGATAAACTGAAGATGTTCTATGTGAATCTATTAGATAAGTGTGTCCTCTAACTGAAATTTGCTGGAGGAGTCGTACATAATTTATCCTATTTTGTATAAATTGCGATAAAGATTGAAACATGCCCCCTTGTATGTGGATAATTTGAATTTCTCGTGAAATGTTTTCTTAAGAAGTAAAACTCAGACTTGCCCCCAGCACTTTATATATACCCAAGAATACGTTTAGTTGACTTGTGTAGCAAACTTTTCTCAATAATATTGTTTTTCACTTGTGCCGATGGGATTTTTGTGCAACAATTAGGAAAATTTATAAGTGTCCGTTACGAAATCAACACAGTCATGTGACATCAAAAATTTGCTTTTTCACAATACCTTATTAAACTCTCTTCACAAATTTACTGTACATGTATACATTCGAGGGTTATATAGTTATATAAAAAGTTATATAAAAAATCAGGTCCTTTGCTAAAATTTTGAAAATTTACATTAATTTTTACTATGCAGTCATAGGATTCATTGAGCAATCACTTGACGTTAAGTGACGTGACAATCAGATTTCAAACCCGTTAAGCTTTTTCATAGTTCTAAATATTTTTCATTTCTTTAGATTTTTCTTGTCTTTGTTCTACTTAAAAGTTAAATATCTATATCAAGACTTGTTACTTTTCTTCTATAGTGTATTTTGTGCTGTTTCGGATATTAGTGAGATCTTAAAATAATAGTCTACGCAGTTAAGAGATCAGGTATGGAAACGATGCAAAATCCATAGGCGCAACGTCCATGCGATAAGTGGGGTATTGAGGTATCGATGGAGTTGATCATTAAAATGTTAATCCTTCCATTCTTATAAATCTACTACCATTTGAATACCTTTGTCCTTTGTACACGTAGGCAATTTCCAGCAGCAGCTAGAAGCATTTTAGTCTATTCAAGACATTTTCCTGTCTGCACACATCATTTTTTAGCAGCTCGGTGCTCCATGACGTTCAATAACGTTCCCATTCTGGGCTTTGTTTTTACTCGATTATTTATAAATGGCTATAAAACAGTCATACACCCTCCAATTTAATTCAAAATAATTTTGGCAAATGAGGTTTCATGAATACTGTAGCGACATGTAAAATATCATAATTCTTTCTGCGCTACAACTGTGCAATTTTTAATTTCCATATAAAGTCTATGTAATGTAAACGTGCGAAAAAAGCATGCTCCGTGAAGCATGTTTTATCAAAATAATACAGCTGTATAATTTTTAAGGATCATCGGAAAACACAAAATCTTTTTATAGTTATTGTAAAATATATAAAGTTTTTACCTGGAGAGTTTAACCGGTTTCATGGAAATAGCGCGCTCCCAATAGAACTGTCCGCGAACTTTTCTAACAACCCTCGTAGATTACAAATTGAAATCAAAATCTGGCTCCAAATATGATAGTGTATTTCTAACGTATATTAAGCCTTCGGGCAGCCTTAACACAGCCGCGTAGCGAAAGTGGACTGCTTTACATAAAGGAAACGAACATGTATCTAATAGGATTAACAGTTTTAAACTAATATTTGTAGTAATTTTTTGATTTATTCTGTAAACATCAGGATAAAATGTCATCGTAGGATGGAAAATATTTGAAGAAAAATATATGCGATGAAAAAAAAAAAACCAAGAAAGATAAGCATATTACCTTTTTGCAATTGCAGCATGTGTATTGATCGTGCATTGTACCTCTAAAGATGTCAGTCGGATCAATAACCTTATCCAAACCTTTGTAAAAAACAAAACAAAAATAAAAAAAAACAAAAACAAAAAACATATATTTAAATTGCTTTTACTTTCTCTTAATTTACGTATAAATCAAAACATGAGGCTCATGTTCCACATCGCTCACCTGAGCACTTAGGCGGAAAAACGGAAATCAGTTCAGTATTGAAAAATTGAAATATAAAAGTGGTCCATATATTTGATCTTCTGTTGGGGCCTTGCCCTACCCCAGAGACATAATTTGAACACAATTGAATCTACAGAACCCGCACATGCTTCTGAATCAATATGTCTTATCATGGCTTTGATGTTCTTTTTTACTATATATTCCTATGTAATATTTTGATCTCCAATTATGGCCCTACTTTGGATTATGATTTGAAGAAATTTGAATCTACAGTACCTGAGGTAGGTTTCATTTCAATATGACTAATCATAGATTTGCTGTTCTTGAGAAGATTTTTACAGATTTTTTCCTATATATTTCCATGTAAAACTCTGACACCCCCCAGCCCTCATTGTGGCAGCCGCCCTACCCATGTGGGTCATGAATTTAACAAATTTGAATCTACTTGAAGATGCTTATTTTATAATATGACTAAGCATGCTTTGCTGTTCTTGAGAAGAAACTTTTTCAAGATTTGTTCCTATATATTCCTATGCAAAAGTTAGATTCCTCATTATGGCCCCACCCAACCCCCGTCGTTCATGATCAAAACAAACTTGAATCTACACTGCCTTAAGATGCTTCAATATCAATGTGACAAATGGTAACTTTGCAGTTCCTGAGCAGAAGATTTATATATATGTATATATATAGTTCCTATATATTCTTACTTCAGACGTTGATCCTCTATTGCGGCCCCAACCTACCCCCGTGGGTAAGGATTTGAACAAACTTGATTCTACACTACCTTAGAATAATTCCTTTTGAATATAATTATTGTTTTGTTATTCTTAAGAAGATGTTCAAAGATTTTTCTTTTTTACTTTATATTCATTTGTAAAACTTTGATCCCCACTTTGGCCCAACCTACAGTCCCTGAAACGTTCTACTTTCCCACTTGAACGGTGAGCGAACGCTGAACGAACGGTGAACGAACGCTAAACGAACGCAGAGCGAACGGTGAGTGAACGATGTGTGAACGCTGAACGCAACTTGGTGAACGATGTGTGAACGCTGAACGGTGAGCGAACGCAGAACGCGAACGGAGCGCAAACGCGAACGCAAAGTGAACGGTGAACGAACGGTGAACGCAAGATGAACGATATATTCGGAATGCCTCTGATCTTTTCCTTGCATTGAAACTATTTTATTGTTTTATAATGTCAGGTGTAAACAAAAAAAAATACATAAATAAATCAATAATAAATAAGTAAACCAATAAATGAATGAATAAATAAGTCAATAAAATAAATTCTCCAAAATTGTCCTGAGAAAGACGATGCATGGACATTAAGTTTTTAATCACACGATTTTTATCGCATTAAAACATTGCAATTGTTGCCGAACGCTGAAGTATAAGAGATGTTTTTTTTAGTTGGAAAATAAAAATGTATATTCTTATTTGATAACAAATCAGAGAAAACTTCTGACTTATAGAATGAATTAAAGTGGTTGTAACATCCATTCATATATCTCCGTGTTAGGGCGATTTCGTGTAAAGTAATGAAAAAAAAATTACAAAGGTCAGTGGACGTTTTGCATTTATACGCTTGTATTTTAAATTTTTAATACAATAATATATTATGTGTCATTTCTATTTTACATGATGATTTATCAGGCCCGTAGGAAGCAAATTCGGTTGGGGGGGGGGGGGGGGGGCACAGCCATACATTTTCAGTTGATAGTTGAGGGGGCACTACCAAAAATTTCCTGATGACAAGCAAAAAAAAAAAAAGGTCATCAGACTTTTTATTGCGGGGGAACAAGCATATAGTATCTATGTTTACTATAGTAATCTATATATCGGCAAAATTATTGGGGAGGGAGGGGGCACGCCCCCCCCCTGCACCCCCCCGTTCCTACGGCCATGTTTACTGAGCAGACTTCTACATTTATCTGTAGATGGCCGTGATTATACTCGGACAAGATAATACAAAGATACATATTCATATTATTTGTTATAAATTCAATTTTCAGAACTTGATATTCAAGTAATATGCTGTTTTAGTTTTTATTAAACAGACAAATGAGAGAGAGAGAGAGAGAGAGAGAGAGAGAGAGAGAGAGATTCCGTTTTAGCCCCCCCCCCTTTCCCATTTCAGGCTTCACTACATGTTTGTACCTATATCAAACAAAAACTCTGAAATTTTTTCTAAGTAAATCAGACAGTGAAAGTAACTTTTTTTAATTAACAAATCAAATCCATTTGTTTGACAGTCATACTCGTTTTTTATTTTCCTGCTTCAAGTTCACACGAAGTCCACGAGCTTGTCCTGTCAATCAAAATCATTCGACACTGTGCAGGTGTGAAAGTTTCGTCGCATCGGAGACGAAGTGTGAGTATTTCCTACAAGTTATAACATTTATTTTTATCATTTCTAGGTTTAATTCCAACATTTGAATAATAATTGAATAAAATACATAAGGCATTAACACTTGAATTTGAAACGTACTCTCTGCCAATTCCAAATACCACCGCCGACACGTGTACATTTTGAACTACTATTGTTTTGTGACTTTTTTAGATGCCTGTTTGTTTTGAGACTGAAATTTTTGTTCTAAAAAGACCTTAACTTTTTTTTAAAATGTTAATTAAAATATTCTGGAAGTACAATACTGACTAAGTAACCGATTTAGGGGGAAAAGGGGGGGGGGGGAGGTATTAATCATATCGAATGGCAAACATATAAAGATACGGTGAAGAAAGATTTTTTTTCCTCTATAACTATAGACTTTACATATTATAATAGAGAAAATTCTGTAGTGCATTACATTTTAAATAAATATTTCCTTTAACCACACAATCAATTTAATTTGCTCCATAGATAATAAATTAATACGATATCCACAGTACTATGTATAACTCTCAGAACTAGTTCTATCATATTTTCTGTAGTAATTGAAAAAAAAAACGTGTTATAAAAAAATATTTTCGTAATTTTGCTGCGTAATTATTTGACTTGGATAATTATATCTCCATTAACGATTTGTCGTCTTTAACAAAACAACAAAATGTTGCAGTTCTTGAAGTATTTGCACATTGCCCTTAGTTAAATTTAATCTTTCAGCATCGTTCTACATAGGTACAGAATGTGCTAATAACAACATTTATTTTCCAGAGTAATTTAATAAATAACCTAACAGCTAAGTAAGAATAATAAAAATATATATCGTAGATATTTTCCCCTATGAAATAATTATTCTTCAAACATATGTAAGTTATTAAATTAAAAAACCTGTAACTCCTAACCTACAAAAAGATAAGTCCTTTCACTTCGGAGTTCCGAATGACAATGAAAACTGAACGATAGGTGAACGCTGAACGCAAGGTGAACGCAAAGTGAACGGAACGAAGAGCGAACGCTGAACGTTTTGTGAACGCTGAACGCGAGCGCACGGTGAACGGTGAACGCAAAACTGTGAACGGAGAGCGAACGGTGAACGCACGGTGAACGAACGGTGAACACACGCTGAACGAACGGTGAACGAACGGTGAGCGAACGGAAAAATGGGAAAGTAGAACGTTTCAGGGACTGTACCCCCGAGGTGATGATTTGAGAAACTTGAATCTACATTAGCTAAGGATGTTTCCATATCAATATGACTCAACATGGCTTTGCTGTTCTTGAGTGGATTTTTGATATGAACAATCTTGAATCAGCACTATGTAAAGATTGATTGATTGATTGTATGTTGTTTTACGTCCCATTCGAGAATTTTTATAGAGACGTCACCATATACTGGCGAAGGGCTTCAAATTTTGACCTTTACTCGGCACTCAGGGCCATTGAGCAGTGAGGGATCTTTATCGTGCCAACGCCTGCCGTGACACGGGGCCTCGGTTTTTAAGGTCTCATCCGAAGGATCCGCAACCTTCACTTCAAAGTGCCGAGCGCATGGCGAAGGAACAGTTGCTACCCATTTTTTGTCGACTTAGGTCAGTCGCGGCCGAGATTCGAACTCAAGACCTCCCGATCACGGAGCGAGCGCTCTACCGACTGAGCTACCATGAACGTTCACTATATAAAGAAGGTTTCATACAAGTTTCAAGTGTTTATGCCAAGTGTTTCTTGAGAGGAATATTTTTAAAAGATACCACCAAATTTTCAGAATTTCTTAACTATATCCACTTGAAAGAAGGCTGAAGTTTCATTTTAACAAACTTGAGTCCCCTTCACCCATGGAAGATTTGTGGCAAGTTTGGTTGAAATTGGCCGAGTACTTCCAGAGAAGAAGTCAAAAAAGTGACAAATTAACAGATGGATGGATAGACAGATGGACAGACGAGACGGACAAAATGTGATCAGAAAAGTTCTCTTGAACTTTTATCTCATGTGAGCTAAAACCCAGGAAATCTAACATGGCTATTAGTACCTAATTTGATTTCTTGAGCATTAAATGATACGCAGCTAAGTTAAGGCTGTCCGAAGGTTTAATATGCATTAAAATATACATTTTATTTTGAGCTAGATTCTAATTTAAATTTGTAATTTATGTATGAATTTGCAGTCAATTTGTTTTGAAAGTGCAACCAGGTATTAATATTAATGCATTTTTGTGATGTCACATAGCTTTGTTGATCACGTGACAGGCACTTATAAATTCCTAAATGTTGCACAAAAATCGCATCGGCACAAGTGCAAAACAACATTATTGAGAAACATTTGTCACATAAGTCAATTCACCGTGATCTTTCGTAAATAAAATAAAGTATTGGGGGCAAGTCTGAAGTTTACTTCTTAAGAAAATATTCCACGAGAAATTCAACTCACCAACATACAAATCGCCTCTCTTAATCGCAATTTATAAAAACAGGATAAATTACATACAATCCCCAAGCACATTCAGTTAGAAAACATACTTCTCTAGTAGATTCACAAAGAATATCTTCAATTTATCCTTATTAATCACTTGTGCCAGTCAAACACATTACATACAACCCCCCAGCAAAATTCAGTTAGAAGACAAACTTCTCTAGAAGATTCACAAAGAATATCTTCAATTTATCCTTATTAATCACTTGTGACAGTCAAACATATACACGATTGATCAATTCTAACTCCAGGATCGTGTAATGGGGAGCGTTTCACTGTCATTTTTATGTTATTGTTTGAATATATGTATATCGGAGAAGTTAAAGGAATAACGATATTAAATTACAAATGTTCAACATCATAACAGCACACTTAACCTTAAAGAATAATCCATACACTTGAATCAATCAACAACGCTAAAAATGTTTATATGTCATGTGCAAGGAATGTGAAAGTTATTACACTTTCCCCATCACGTCAGCTAAAGTATACAGTGCCTTGACGTCAAATGCTATTATGACGTCACATCTAGGTAGTTCAGAGAAGTTACTACAGTTTGAACAGTCTGATATTTTACGGACAGCCTTATCCCAACCGCGTATAAACTGCTAACAGAATTCAATATAAACAAAGTAACGATATATCGGTATTTAAATATTTTTTCCAAGCTCATCAGGGCACAGTATACGAGCCATCGACATTCTTATATTTAAATTCATACCTTCTTTTTCCCTCCTCAGAGCTTCATCGGTAATTCCACTCAAAATACTAGTGAGAAATGATAGACTATCATGCTGTGTATACTCCACGAATGAATTGTCGCTAAAATGAAAAAGTCAAACCTTTTAATATTTTTGATGATCAATTTTTTTATACAATATAAAAGATATTTTTACTTTAAGAATTTAGTTCACTGATCAGTTTCGTGGGAAATTTCCTGTACAACTTAAAGAAGGAATATGTCTCGGCAAATCGTTATAAAACTTGTCTTGTTTTATTTATTTATTTTTATTTTTGTATACAATACGAATAACGATCGTTACTTCAACTTTGAAATGCATGTAGATTCTGTTCAACGTTAGCATTTTTTTTTTCAAATTTAACTTCTGAGTTCTCCTTTCCAATCCTCCACAAATATGTTTTGAATAAGATGAGACCGCATTAACCGAGGTCCTGTGTCGCAGTAGGTGTTGGCACGAAAAAGACCCCTTCCTGCTCAATGACCCTGAGTGCCGAGTATGGTATACATTTGCAGCCTTCCACCGGCTAATAGTGGCGTCTCCAAATGAATGAAAAATTCTCAAGAGGGACGTTAAGCAACAAACAAACATGCAACATCTTTTAAATAAAAAAAAAAATGTTAGTGTATAGAACTCGATTTCTTTTAAATATGTTTGTTTTGCATGAAGTGAACTATGGTAAATTGAATTTTAAGACCAGAAAAGTGATACTATTATTATAAACAAACCCTATCAATTTTAAAAACTTCAAAAAATTATTTTGGTTTTTTCAACATCCTCATAAACATGATACAAAAATAATAAACAGAAAGAAAATACAGTGTTTTAAAATCTCAGACAATTAATCAAATCTGAAAGAATAAACTTGGTTTAGGTTAATCTCTAGTTCGACAGAAAAATATTTTCCGTAAAAACCAGAGAGTGTTACAACATACTATGGTGTACAGATAGGGCCATTCGCAAAAGAGTAACAGCGCATTAGGAATAACGCGCTATCGTAAAGTGACAACACCCTAGCGCGTTCTTAACAACACACCGTCGCGCTAACACACAACACGTGGTCACGCTACACAGCTTTACACAAACCGCCGTCGCGCTAACACACTGTTATACTTTTGCAAATAGCAGTATGGGGGATACCATAACATACAGCAACAGGGTTTATTTTGTGATTATTATTCTTTATCCTTAGAAACAATGAAACATTGACCGTCTTCACTACAAGCATTCATATATGCATTTTTCACTAAGATTGGATATGTTATTTGAAATAGTCATCCTTGAAAATTATTTTTGCAAAGTATTTTCCTCAAATAATATGTTTATCATATGTTGTAACCAGTGCCTTCTTCTTCTTCTAATAATACTACTAATAAAAATAAAACATTCACTTTTTTTATTGTACAATTGTGCTGTCAATCACTGCACTTTTCTTTTTAAGATTTAATCTTTCTTATTCAAAGGTTGGTCAATGAAAACATTTTATGTTAATGTACTCACATGCTTGCAAATTCAACCTGGAATCTAAGAAGCCAATCTTCGATATCTTGTTTCGACGAACTCTCTTTCAAAACTCGCCAAAGAATTTCAGAGAGCGTAAATGTCCAATTTTCTTTCTGAAAATATTTTTATTGCAGATTTATGGTATTGTAATGTACAATTACCATCATGTGTCTGAGCTATCAATGACTCAGAGTTTGAAATTGAAAGACATTGTAAAAATAGAATAAAAGTGACAGAAGCTATATTTCTTCTAAATTGTAAAACAAACTTCATCGATCACCACAGATTAAATACCCTAAAATTATTAAATCAATGCCATGGCAATGTCATAACCCAACCTTAACGTACCTTATATGGATGTATGCCACTTTTTTCCACCTTTTACAAATTATAAATATCCATTCAAAGGTATAACTTTGACTATTGTGAATTTGAAATAAATAAACATTTAATTTCATATTTTTTATAAATAACAATTTCAACTTATGCTCACAAACAATAAAGAGAAAACATTTGTATGGATTACACGTCATCACAGATGTAATTCTTGATACACTTACACTTTGTGTATTCATGCTTCTAAGCATAGAAAAGAAATTTGGAGTTTCTGCTAGAACCTAGAAAACAATTCATAATTTAATCATTACAATTCAAATGGAAAATAATTATCACTTACGAGGGTTGTTCGGATATTGTTGAGACATTGTGCATATTCTTCTTTCTAATGAACCTCTTTTGGTGAAACTTTGCATATACATTTGAAAAACACTAAGAATTAATAAAAGCAAGAAATATTTTACAAATATTCTATTTCCACTTTTTTAATGGTATATTAATGTATCAATGGTAGGGATACCCGGCGCATTCACGAAATCTGGTATCATAAATACCGTATAAGTGGAATTTTTTTTAGCTAGACGCAAATTTAGCGGTTTTGCCTTAAAAAATCAGTATTAATTTTTAGCGAGAAGTAATTTTAGCGACTCGGTGATGCCTGGAAAGACAACAGTAACCCCCAATGCAGAATGAATTGTTAGCGAGATTCAATTTTAGCGATCTCAATACTCTCACTAAAAAAAGCAAAAATAGATCCTCGCTAAAATTTCTACTTATACGGTATATAACACCAAGGTTAGAACTCCCGGTGGACCCATAGTAATAGCGAAAATAATTCAAACTAGATGAGATCTCGTTGCGAGCAACGAGTGGGTCTTCCGTCCGATTTTTGATAAGATGAGATGAGAATTTGAATGAGATTTTTGTTCAAATTTAATGACACAAATAAATTGTTTAGACGAACAATTTTGCTTTAGTACTGTGTAACAATATATATTGATCATTAAAGGGTTATAGATTACAGACTTAATTTTGGCCCCTTTTACGACTGGTCAGCCCCTTTTTCTTGATATCATCTTAAAGCTTTCATGATTTTGAACACTCTTTGTTAAAAAAATATTCAGAAATTCTTTTTCGTTTCTGTGATGTATGCAAAAGAAATATTAAGGGCAGATCCTTTAAGTCCTAAATGGGGACGTCTAGCAAAAATTGAAAGATTGCATATTATTAAGAATATTATTTTGAACATCTAATTATGTACCATATGATGTATATAGCATGATATATGGTTGTAAATTGTTGAGATAGACATTTTGGCTTCAGTAATGCATTACAAAATATTGATCGTTAAAGAGTTATTGTGAAAAAGATTTCGGCCCCTCTCGCCCCCTATTTTGAGGGGCCAGCCCCTTTTTCTTCATACCACTTTAAAGCTCTCATGATTTCGAACAATTTTTGTTCAACAACTAATCAGAAATTCTTTTTCGTTTCCGAGATATTTCCAAAAGAAATATTTAGGGGCCGGTCCTTCAACTCCTTAATTGGGATGTTTAGGAAAAATTGAAAGGTTGCATATTATTCAGAACATTATTTTGAACATCTTTTGTTCAATATTGCTTATCAAAATATTTCCCACTTTCGAGATATAAAGTGTCAAAGATTTAGCATTCTGGCCCCTTATGGCCCCTAATTATGTAACATATGATGTATATAGCATAATATATGGTTGTAAAGTGTTGAGATAGACATTTTGGATTCAGTAATGCATTACAAAATATTGATCGTTAAAGAGTTATTGATTAAAGACTTTCAGCCCCTCTCGGACCCTATTTCGATTAGCCAGCCCCTTTTTCTTCATACCACTTTAAAACTCTCATGATTTCAAACAGTTTTTGTTCAACAACTAATCAGAAATTCTTTTTCGTTTCTGAGATATTTGCAAAAGAAATATTTAGGGGCCAGCCCTTCAACTCCTTTATGGGGATGTTTAGGAAAAATTGAAAGGTTGCATATTGTTAAGAACATAATTTTGAACATCTTTTGTTCAATATTGCTTATCAAAATATTCCCCACTTTCGAGATATAAAGTGTCAAAGATTTAGCATTCTTGCCCTTCATGGCCCCTAATTATATCATATATGATGTATATATCATAATATCTGGTTGTAAATTGTTAAGATAAACATATTTGCTTCAGTGAAGCATTACAAAATATTGATTGTTAAAGAGTTATTGATTAAAAACTTTTGGCCCCTCTCGGCCCCTAGTATGATGAGTCAGCGCTTTTTTCTTGATATCATGTGAAAGATCTTGTCATTCTGCACAATTACCGTTCAGTATGTTTTCACAAAATAATTATAGTTTAAAAGATATGATACAAAATGTCTTGAAAGTTCACTCATGATTCGTGTCCTAAATTTTGACCCATACCGAGCTTCCATATTAGGCAATTCCGGAAAATATCTAAACCCAGGTGCAAAATGGCAACATGTCCTCTATCATCACTGAAAATTTCAGCGCTCTAGCTTAAGCCGTTTTTGAGTTCCATCACAGACAAGGAGGTCCTCTGAATTTTGATAAAAGGGCGATAACTTTCGACCGGAAGTGATTTTCGGAAAACTGTTCAGCCGGAATTAACTTCAGATAACCTAGCAACAATCCTGAAAATCTGAAGCAAATCCATCAATTCATCTCCGAGAAATCGAGAAATATTTAGGGGCCGGCCCTTCAACTCCTTAATGGGTACGTTTAGCAAAAAATGAAAGGCTGCATATTGTTTAGAACATTATTTTGAACATCTTTTGAACAATATTTCCCACTTTTGAGATATAAAGCGTCAAAGATTTAGCATTCTGGCCCCTTATGGCCCCTAATTATGTAATGTATGATGTGCATATTGTAATATATAGTTGTAAATTGTTAAGATAAACATTTTTGCTTCAGTAATGCATTACAAAATACTGATCGTTAAAGAGTTATTTATTTAATACATTTGGCCCCTCTCAGCCCCTAATATGATAAGTCAGCCCTTTTTTCGTGATACCATATTAAAGATCTTGTCATTCTGCACAAATGTTGTTCAATATGTTATTACAAAATAATTATACTTTAAAAGATATGATACAAAATGTCTCAAAAATTCACTTATGATTCGTGTCCTAAATTTCGACCCCTACCGAGCTTCCATACTAGGCACTTCCGGAAAATATCTAAACCCAGGTGCAAAATGGCATTATGTCCTCTATCATCGCTGAAAATTTCAACCCTCTAGTTCAAGCCGTTTTTGAGTTCCATCGCAGACAAGGAGGTCCTCTAAATTTTGATAAAAGGGCGATAACTTCCGACCGGAAGTAAATATCCCTTAACAAAATTGCCGGAATTAACTTCAGATGTCAACGCATCTACCATGAAATTTTGAATAAAATCGAACGAGCCATCTCCGAGAAATCGTCTGCACAAATTTTTTCGAGATATGTAGACTTGAAATATTTAGGGGCTGTCCCTTTAAGTCCTTATAGGGGCTATTTAAGAAAATTAAAAGGATGCACATTGTTCAGACCATCATTCTAAACAACTTTTGTTCAATATTGGTTTTCAAAATGTTTCCCATTTTCGAGATATAAAGCTTCAAAGATTAAGCATTCTGGCCCTTATGGCCCCTAATTACGTAATATTTGAAGAAAATTTCAAGATATATATTTGCAGATTGTGAAGATGAACATTTTTGCTTCAACATTTAATATCAAAATATTTAACGTTAAGGAGTTATAGATGAAAGACTTTTGGCGCCTCTGAGCCCCTAATTTGAGGGGTCAGCCCCTTTTTCCTGATATCACTTGAAAGGTCTTGTAATTCTGAAGACTTTTTCTTCAACAACTATTCAGAAGTTTCGCTTCGTTTTCGAGATATGTAGACTTGAAATATTTAGGGGCTGTCCCTTTAAGTCCTTATAGGGGCTGTTTAGGAAAAATTAAAAGGATGCACATTGTTGAGAACATCATTCTAAACAACTTTTGTTCAATATTGCTTTTCAAAATATTTCCCCTTTTCGAGATATAAAGCATCAAAGATTAAGCATTCTGGCCCCTTATGGCCCCTAATTACGTAATATTTGATGAAAATTTTAAGATATATAGTTGCAGATTTTGAAGATGAACATTTTTGCTTCAATAATTAATATCAAAATATTTAACGTTAAGGAGTTATAGATGAAAGACTTTTGGCGCCTCTGAGCCCCTAATTTGAGGGGTCAGCCCCTTTTTCTTGATATCACATGAAAGGTCTTGTAATTCTGAAGACTTTTTGTTCAACAACTATTCAGAAGTTTCGTTTCGTTTTCGAGATATGTAGACTTGAAATATTTAGGGGTCGTCCCTTTAAGTCCTTATAGGGGCTGTTTTGGAAAAATTAAAAGGATGCACATTGTTGAGAACATCATTCTAAACAACTTTTGTTCAATATAGCTTTTCAAAATGTTTCCCCTTTTCGAGATATAAAGCGTCAAAGATTAAGCATTCTGGCCCCTTATGGCCCCTAATTATGTAACATATGACATAAATATTATAATATGTAGTTGTAAATTGTTAAGCTAAACATTTTTGCTTCAGTAATGTATACCAAAATATTGATCGTTAAAGAGTTATTGATTTAATACTTTTGGCCTCTCTCGGCCCCTTATACGATAAGACAGCCCTTTCTTCTTGATATCATATTAAAGATCTTGTCATTCTGCACAAATATTGTTCAGTATGTTTTAACAAAATAATTATACTTTAGAAGATATAATACAAAATGTCTCAAAAATTCACTCAAGATTCGTGTCCTAAATTTCGACCCCTACCGAGCTTCCATACTAGGCACTTCCGGAAAATATCTAAACCCAGGTGCATAATGGCAACATGTCCTCTATCATCACTAAAAATTTCAGCGCATTAGCTTCAGCCGTTTTTGAGTTCCATCACAGACAAGGAGGTCCTCTAAATTTTGATAAAAGGGCGATAACTTCCAACCGGAAGTAAATATCCCTAAACGGAATTGCTAGAATTAACTTCATATATCAACGCATCTTTCACGAAAATTTGAATAAAATCGAACGAGCCATCTCCGAGAAATCGTCTGCACAAATTTTGTAAGAAGAAAAAAGAATAATAATAATAATAATAATAATAATAAAGGTAAAAAAGAAACCGAAGAATAATAGAAGGGTCTTCCGCTGAAGACGGAAGACCCTAATTATGTATGTTTCCATTCAATTTAGTTTAGAAATCTGATAACGACAACAAAATGGTTTTTGACCTCAAGGCGGTGCAGTGATAATACCCAAAATTCTGTGTTGCGCTATAGAGAACAATTGTCCAGACTAAACGACCCCCTAAAACAATAACAATTCGAAAAAGCATGCCTAAGGGTTTGTTTTTTCATTTGAACTTATTTTTTCTTCACAAATAATTCATCCAGAGTCAAAACAAAAGCTCCGGACGACCATTAATTATTACGGACTAAATAACGTTGAACCGCGTTGCATAAATCGGTTCTGCATGATGCTTAATCAACATTATATAATACTTCATGCATATTTTACAAGGGGGTAGCATAAGCACACGTTATATTATTATTATTATTTTTAAAGAATCGTTTAAGAAAACAGACAAGTTTAATTTTTGGAATTTTATATGTGATAACAGAAAAAAAGATAAACGCTTAACGATCGTTTCACATGAGAAAACATCTCCGGCTGACGTGACGTTAATATGACGTAGCGATGCTGTTAAAGGTCAATAGACATATGCATGTTTATAATTTAAACGGAACGTATTTAATAATCCTTTGAATTAGAAAATTTTAATTAATTTGAAATTTAATTTATTTGTAATCCTTTGAATTAGAAATTTTGCACATTTGTTTTATTTGTTCTATATAAAATGTTGACGAATTTTCATGAATATTTCTCTGTCCTTTGTGGAGTAAAAGTAAATGTCTCAATAATTTCCAAACACCCCTCGTATCATGCAAATTGAATGAAAGTATTATCAAACCCACATACACACCCTCACAGAACACACACATGCACATATACACCCACCCACCCACCCCCCCCCCCCCCACACACACACAGAGAGAGAGAGAGAGAGAGAGAGAGAGAGAGAGAGAGAGAGAGAGAGAGAGAGAGAGAGAGAGGGAGAGAGAGAGAGAGACCTGAAGGACACTGTTTTTGTAGCAACTTAGACCAAGATTTGGTAATCCGTTTTGTTTGACCTGAAAGGAAATAGAATAAATTGCTATTCAATGTCACCATTTTATAAATTGACAGACTGAACACCAGACACATTATAAAGGTCCACATTCTACTTACCCTATAATCATCGACTTTCAAGGACGGGAATAAGTAGCTTTTCACTTTCCCTATGACTTTCATCGCACCACCAGAACTGGTTGCTTTTTCATACAAAATGGCTGCTGGATTGCTGTTCTCTTTAAATATTTAAGTATTAAGAAATAGATTCTTAGCTTTTCCTACGATTAAATGAGATTATATTATCTAAAAAAAAAAAAAAAAAAAAAAAAAAAAAAATCAATGTATTAAGATGACCATACGGTACACACGAAACTATTTTGTCGAGAAAAAAATTAGGAACATGAAAACAAATCTACCTTAAAAAAAAAAAAAGAGAGAAATGATTAAGAATTTGAAATAGCACTCATAAAGTAAATTGCAACTTGATGCTTATTGGAAAGATCACGACTTTCATGAAGAAAATCGGGTTTGAGATGTTTTCAAACTTTATCTAACTCATAAACATTTCATCTTTCACTTTTTTTTACAACATAGGATGAACTTGATTGTCAGAAAAATAACTCTTTTTTCACAATTATTGGAAATTTCTGAGCACTCGCATTGAAGAGATAGGAACCAGAATTAATATTTGAGTGCTGAAACTTTTTTTTTATAAAGAGTCAAACAATATAGCAGATTTTCTTTATTTACATGTACACGCTCAATTTTAAACACTTCAATTTATAACGTCAGTAAGTATATCTTATTCCAGTTCCGGTAGCAAGAGATCGTGCATCACGGAATTCTGGTAAATTTATACCCATCAACGTGTAAAATGAAGCTATATTAAATAGTTTTATACATGTCCATAGGTTTTTCTTATAAATAGATGAACTTTTTGAGAGGTTGAAATCAATAAATAACTACCGCTTGACGGTTTCTTTACAACAGACAGATATACCACACACGATGAAACCACGTCTTAAGATCACTGGTTCTCGATTAGGGAGTCTTAACAAGAGGCCCATTGGCCACATTGCTCACCTGAACACTTTTGCAAGGAAAAAGCAGAAAGCAGTCAAGTATTTAAAAAAAATAAATATAGACTGAAGTGGTCCCTAGTGGGAAGGGGGGTTTGAACAAACTTGAATGTACACTAATTGAGGATGCTTCATAATTAATTTAACTAATAATGGTTTTGCTGTTTTTTACAAGAAAATTTTTATTGATACATCCCTTATATTCCTTTGTATAACTATTGATCCCCTGTTATGGCCCCTCTATACTCCGGAGTTGGTTTCATGTTTTGAACAAATTTGAATCTACACTACCCAAGGATGCTTCGTAATTAACATGACCAACCATGGCTTTGCTGTTCTTGAGAAGATTTCTCAAATGTTTTTATTGGGTATTCTTATGTGAAACTTTGATCGCCCATTATGGCCCAAACCTACCCCCAGGGACATAATTCGAACAAACTTGAATCTACACTACATGAGGATGCTTCCATATAAATGTGACCAATCATAACTTTGCTGTTCTTGAGAAGATTTTTACAGATTTTTCTTTTGTATTCCTATCTAAAACGTTGACCGCCCAGTGTTGCCCCACCCTACCCTCGGGGTCAAGATTTGACCACACTTGATTCTACACTACCTGAAGATGATTCCATATAAGTTTCATACTCTCTAGCACAGTGGTTCTTGAGAGGATTTTTAAAAGATGCCATAATTTTTTCTCCCCTTGGAAGAAGGCGAAGCCCTCCATTTGAATAAACTTGAATCCCCATTACCCAAGAATAATTTGTGGAAAGTTCGGTTAAAATTGACCCAGTGGTTCTTGAGAAGAAGTCAAAAATGTGAAAAGTTTACAGATAGTCGGGCAGCTAGACGGACGCGCACAAAATGTGATAAGAAAAGCTTATTTGAACCTTTGGCTCAAGTGAGCTAATTATCTAAGGAGTGACCTACATTAAAGTAGTGCATGTGACTCTAGAGATATTCTCAATATATACAGACACATTGAAATATGGGGATAACAATTAGCAATCAAAATCAAAAGTCCAATGAAAAGAATGCAAATCAAAGACAGAGAAAACAGGGACCTCTAAAAAACATCAGAGATGGGATCACTTGCCACGGAGAGGAAAGATTTTGTCCCTTGACAACCCGTCACACCCGCCGTGTGCTCATTGTCATGATCGGGCAAACAGAAAAATCTTTTGACAATTCGGTGTTTTAAAAATGACCTAACAATCAGTATAAAAACAACACTTAGCATTCAATTAATGGTGGATTATATTTGCTGACAGGGTTATTATATCGACCATAGAACTTGCAAAACGTTGACTATAAACGAGACTGTTGATATCCTTGTTTTACAAACTTGTTTATCAATAGCTTGCTTCGTTTTAAAAATTGTTCATACATATACGTAGGTCATGCTTATGGACTCAGCTGAGAGATATAAACTCCATATGCAGCATGAAGATCTTAGATTGCATTTTAGATCTATCTCATCTTAACATTGCAGTTTAGATTTATCTCATCTTAAAATTCCGGCGATACAAAGTTTTAGAAATCGGAGTAGGTAACGGTAAGTAGATCTGTGTAACGAAATAAATTGGAATTTTGTTTCTTTAAATAATATGGAAGGGACAAGAAAATTCAGATGTTAGTATTATAGCATGTTTGCTTAATTTAGGGAATATGAGACGCAGCAATGTTAAGGCTTCCCATATCTAGAATATTGCAGTGCACTCTGTGACTTCACTTCTCTGAACTACAAATATATGACGTCATGATGGAAAATGACGCCAAGTCACTTAGAACTTGAGGTGTTATGACGGGGAGAGTGTGATAAACTTAACGACTTATTTAAACTGCATGTAAAATTTCAGGACGCTATTACAAAATTCATATATTCATGTTTTATTTGTAATTTTTAAAATAATATGCATGTCGGAATATGTCAAAATACTTTGCTCTGTTACCCTTGATTGAAATTCAGCTAGTTAAAAATGAGTATATACTATACTGAAATTGATAATGTACTTTTGAAATGTTTTCTGTTTTACACCCGTGGTTCTAGGTAATTTTTATTATGTATGTATAAAAGAGTATGGCGCAGGCGATGAATGAGGATTATTTGAGATCTTTTGTGGAAATCTGTAAGAGGAGTTTGTTCTGTCACTGAATCTTGCTTGGGGAAAATTTGTGATTCCTTTGTTTTAATACACATTACAATATATTGAGTGGAAAATATCCTCAAATGTGTCGATAAGTTGACCTTCTCATGAGATATTTTGTACGCAAGCAATGCTATCACTTTCCTGAAGTATATCGGGAACACAAAGATATAATAAGTTTATTTATGTAACAAAATGTTTATAAAAATCGTGTTAATCGGATGCGCCGAAGCGATTTATGTGAAACACGTCAGAAAATTGTAAATGACCGTCACGTGTTCAACAAAGTCAAGTGATATCTTAACAAACATGTTTATAAATAGCCGAGAGAATCCTCTTTTTATTCGGTTGTTCATAAGTACATTAATTATATATTAAATTCAAAACTGACCTCGAAATGCAATATTGTGTTTTAAACTCATTTCAAAGCTTCGGGAAGCTTTAACATTGCTGTGAACGCGTTATATAAAAATTTCCTGATATTTATATTATAGTTCCGTTCCATTTTACACCTTGCTATATAGAATATAATATTATTCAACCAATTTGGGCCCAGAGTGGAGTATAAAGATGGACAATGTCCGAAATCATAGTCATAAATAACAATAAACAGAACCTAATAAATAATTAAATATTGATCACAGAGTTATCTGTCAACTTTTAGGATGCATAAATTGTATACAAATAGTATATGTATGATGGCTGTAATATGCCTATATTTTAATATGTTGTTTTCTCATATTAAAATTTGTATTTAAATGTTGACATAATAAAACAACAAACTCAGAATCTTCATTCAACATAATCCATGTAAACAGGTCAAAATTATTAAGCAGTATTAAATTTGGAAAAGTTTTGAAAGATTTTATCTAGAAACTCTCCTCTGGAATCATTATACAGTGGACATTCTAGCAATGTATTTCATCCTCAGTTGGACGACTTGAAGTACAGTAACGACAGACACTTTCACACCTGGGAAGAATCACATTTTTACGACATTTATTAAGTTTCCTTTCATATCTACCCGTCTCTACCCTTAAGCAATGATTACTAATTCTGAATTTTGTGAGCATTGCCCGATTGTCCCGATTTTTCATATTCAAGTATTTTTCAAAATTAAATGACCTTTTATACTTTAAATATGCACTTAATTTACCAAATCCTTCTAAATGATTCGTACGGATATTTTTCCAAGAGTTAAAAAATTATTACGTTTTTGCTTTTTAATGTACAATTTAAATTTGTTTTCAGTAAAATTTTTGCAAAGGGACAAATCAATACGTAGTTTTTTCACTGTAGAGTAATATACTGGAGTACCAATCACTGCTGATAGTGTTTGACGTGCACTCATTGAAAGCTGCCTCCAGTAAATTAGATGCATGTTTTAGTCTATACTAGTACATGAAAATTTGCTTTAACATATCTATATATAATAGATACCTTTCCAGTTCAGAATAGATTCCTACGTTTGTACAAATTTTAGATACCCCCATAATATATTTACAGAATTTCATATTGAGTTTTTCAACTCCCCAAACTTTTCGTACATCAAAAAGAGGGACATTTTTCCTTTTTGGAGTAAGATTAAAAATGCTCCAGTTCTCACATCCATACAAAGCTATAGGTTTAATACAGTGATCAAATATATGTAAAAATGTTTTTATAGAGGAATTAGCATTCTTTATATCTCTATAAAATTTGCATGCCTTTAAGCTTTTTTATCACCATCGTCTAAGCAGAGTAGTCTATCATTCAAATACCGCTTGTACCATGCATGGCTCGCTTTTGATATATTTCCTCCTTCCTCCGGCATTTTCAGAGTTTTTTTTTTCTGGAGTTTTCCAGAGTAGCACAAAATTGTATGATTAACTGCTGCTCCGTGACGTTCTACGAAGTCATATTTTTCACCCTTTTCAATGAGGAATACCTTTCTTCTAAAACTGATTTCTTTTCAGCGAAGCAAAATATTAAGTCAAAATTTGGAATCAGAAACGATGAAACAATTCTTAA